TTCTACGAAATGCTCCTCCAAGTTGTAGCTGAAAATTACAGATTTAAAAGTTTTGAAGCTCAGAAATTTAGAAATTCAGAAATTCAGAAATTCGGAAATCTGAAATTCAGAAATTCAGAAATTCAGAAATTACGAATTTTTTTTAATTCGAAAATTCAGAAATTCAGAAATTCAGAAGTTCAGAAATTCAGAAATTCAGAAATTCAGAAATTCAGAAACTCAGAAATTCAGAAACTCAGAAATTCAGAAATTCAGAAACTCAGAAATTCAGAAATTCAGAAATTCAGAAATTCAGAAATTCAGAAATTCAGAAATTCAGAAATTCAGAAATTCAGAAATTCAGAGATTCAGAAATTCAGAAATTCAGAAATTCAGAAATTCAGAAATTCAGAAATTCAGAGATTCAGAAATTCAGAAGTTCAGAAATTCAGAAATCCAGAAATTTCGTAATTTCGAAAAATTAAAAAAAAACGTACAATTTTTGATTTTTCGGCTTTTGTGGTTCTAAATTTTCCAAAAATTCTGAATTTTCTTCAGAATTCTCCTCAAAAATTTCAAAGCGCTTCAATTCCTTTTTCAGATTTTTCTGCCTTCTCACACGAATCCATCCAGAAGTGTATGGCCCTGAAAACGTTTAAATTTTAAATTTTATAAATTTCAAACAAATAAATAACTCACAAGAATTGTCCTTTTCACTTATACATTTTTTCCCGAAAATTTTCATGGAATTTTCCGGAGATTTAATAAAATTATAGGCGATAATTCCAGAATTTTCCGATTTTGAAGCTTCAAAATTTTTGAAATCCTGTCCAAAAATTGAATTGATTTCTTGTTTTTCATAAATTTCAAAATTTGGATTTCTAGAAATTCTATGGACCACTCGAATTCTGAATTGTTCTGACATTGTGGATTCCAAATATTCTGAAAAGAAAACTTTTTGGAGTTAAAAAAGATTCTTACTAAGAAATATTCTCTCTGAGAAAGATTTTCACTAAGGCAGATTCTCACTGAGAAAAATTCTCATTTAAAAAATCTCATTAAGAAAGATTCTCACTCTGAAAAACTATCGTTAAAAAGGGTCACTAGCACGATCCTCACTAAGAGAAATCGTTGTTAAGAAATATTCTCACTAAGGAATTTCCTCACTAAGAAAGATTCTCACTAAGAAAGGTTCTCACTAAGAAAGACCATTACTGATAAAGATCCTTACTAACTAGGGAAGGTTGTAACTGGGGTACTTTGATATGAGGCCTATATCATTCGAAAGCTGAGAATAAGAAATTTTCAAATATATATTCAGATTTTGCTGAGGAGCTACCAGTTTCGAGAAAATCAAGTTTCAAATTTGGCTGAAATTCGAATATTTTGACGGCCAGATCTCCCCCTTTCTTATATGCATTGTGGAACTAGTTGAAAGCAGCGACTGGTGGTGTAGCGGTGAAGAGGGAGAACGGTAACTGACTAGGGTTGGGTTCGATTCCTCTCTCCTTTGTTTGTTTTTGTTTTTGTTTTCGGTCTTTGTGGAAATCTTCAAAATGTTCCGAACACATTTTTCAAAAAAAATTTCATTTTGATACTTGGATCCTCACTAAAAAAGCTCATCACTAAGAAAGATCCTTACTAAGAAAGCTTCTCACTAAAAAAGATTCTTACTAAGAAACATCCTCATTAAAAACGTTTTTTTCGAAATTTTAAACAAATTCGCTTACTTGGCCAATCGTAAGCTCCTTTTCGGGTTCTCTCCAAAAACAAAATTTCGAAATTTTCAGATTTTTGAATTCCCGCCAAATCCTCCAAAAAATCCACTTCCCATCTGCGTTTCTTGTTCATTGAGTAAGGGAGAAATGGGAAAAAATCAGAATCAGAATTTTCAAAAAATTTCAGATTTTCTTCTGGAATATGAAACGTTTTGACCAGAATATTCCAGGTTTTCAGATGAGACATTGTGTGCTCGGCGAGCCGAGAGTTTTTGGAGGGTTTTTGGAGCATTTTGAAGAGCTGGAAACTGCTGAAAATAATAGTTTTTAAATTGGAAAAAAAAATACGAAAAACGAACGAAAAATGGATGAAAAAGACCCAAAAACAGAAAAAAAATAGATCAAAAATGGCCTAAAATTCAAAAAATCGAAATTTCGAAAAATTCAAAAAATCGAAATTTCGAAAAATTCAAAAAATCAGAAATTTTTCCATTCTGAAATTTTTTGATGACTTTTATTCCGAAAAAAATGTAATGTATTAGTCTTTATTTTTATGATAAGGAAAAGTTCAACATATTTATTTTTGGTGACGAATTTTTTCTTTTTTTCGCGAAATTTTTGATCAAGCTAGACACAAAGAACAAGAGGAAAAATAGGAGAAACCAGGCAACCGCCTGGTGAAAAATTTCGCAATACTTTTTTTTTTGAGAAAAAGGATGTTTGATGGGAAAACTTTTTTAAAGGAAACTGAAACTTGGATTTTTAAAAAAATTATTAAAACTTTTATGAATTCATTTGATTACTCAAAAACCTTTTTTCAATTTCTAAATTATTTAAATTTTGGAATTCTTGAATTTCTGAACTTCTGAATTTCTGAATTTCTGTATTTCTGAATTTCTGAATTTCTGAATTTCTGAATTTCTAAATTTCTGAACTTCTGAACTTCTGAATTTCTGAATTTCTGAATTTCTGATCTTCTGAATTTCTGAACTTCTGAATTTCTGAATTTCTGAATTTCTGAATTTCTGAATTTCTGAAATTCTGAATTTCTGAACTTCTGAATTTCTGAAATTCTGAAATTCTGAATGACTGAATTTCTGAATGACTGAATTTCTGAATTTCTGAATTTCTGAATTAATGAATTTCTGAATTTCTGAATTTCTGAATTTCTGAACTTCTAAATTTCTGAATTCCTGAATTTCTGAATTTCTGAATTTCTGATTTTCAGATCTCCAAAAAATGCCAGAATTCTATCGTTGCAAATACCAAAAAAATAGTTTGCTAAACTGGAAAATGGGTCAACACAAGCATCATGGATTCATCTTTAAACTTTTACATGCAGATCCTGAAATTTCAGAGGTAAGAAATTTTTTTAAAAAGTTCTCAAAATTTCAAAATCATAAAACCAGTCGGTTTACGCCCCTCCGGGGCCAAACCTCCTGGGCTCCGC